TCATTACTACTTAGAGGGGAGAGGGCCCAAATAGTTAGAATCAAATTTGATGGAAACCATTCAAATGGTCCAAAAGCCCAAATTATCACAACCCAACTAATTTAATTCTTACTCACATACATAAATAAAATGTAGCTCAGTTTGGCAGAAAACACAAAATATCCAGATTATCTAAACTCTGATGCTAAAACATCTCTTACTGAACTGTTTTATCTTCTCTTGTTTATTATTAGCAAGGAAAAAAGAATTTTCACCACATTGACATCACATTAGGAGGTCAAGCAGTAATGGCCAGCTACAGTGAAACTTTTTGCTGTTGCCTTTAATGTTCTCTCTGCATGCTGGTGTCTGTACTCAGCTAAACATTGATGGTGAGGTAAAAAACAGAATTTGATAAGGACTTATCTCTGCTAAGTCTCAGCTGCTTAAACCTCCATTCAGTCTCCTGTGATCACCTTGACAGGCTCAGTTAGAACTTTTCATTTACACATTTTTCAGTTTGTGTTGTCAGACCAATAATAAGAATAAAATCTCCTCCTCTGATGATGCTGAATAAATAATCAATTTGAAGACATATTTCACCTTGTTTCTAACATTTTACAAAAGAAACAATTATTATTATTATGGGAGATTAATTGACTGTAAAATTAACCTTTACTCAAGCAGCCCCAATCAAATCATTATTTTATGATTACTTAGTCATCTCATTAGAGAACGTAAAAACAAGTAAATGACAACATTTGTATTTTGTGATAACTCATACTGATATTTAACATAAATGAGCATGGAGAGAACAGAGAGTATCAGCCAGCCCTTAATGGGCAGAGGTACGCCATTGTTTCCTTAAACCACTGTTACACTAAAACATCAGGAAGAACTATTCTGCTTTACCCACTCTGGAGAGTGTTAATGAAAGGCCCACTGTGAACGAAGGGCCCAAGCAGAGAGGAAAAGATGAGTTTTCAAATTAAGTGTGTTAATGTGTACATAGTCCAAAACACAATGATAAAAAGGAAGCAACTAATGGATTTACTGCTGTCAGTGAGTTTAAGGTTGATTCCTTTTAGTTTTTATATATATTCAAGATTTTAAAAAAAGAAGAAGAAAATGACAATGGCAGTCACAAGAAAAAGTAATGGCAATGTTTTCAACTTCCGGGTTTTCTGCATAAATTGGTCATGAAATGTGATCTGATCTTCACCAAAGCACAAATATCAACAAACACAATATTTCTAAGATGATAAAACACAAACAGTCCTAATCTTTCATGTCTTTATTGGACACACCCATTAAACATACAAAGTGATGGTGGGAAAAATAATAGCAACATTGTTTTAATAACTGGTCGAACCACCTTTGGCAGCAATAACCTCAAGCAAGCGCTTCCTCTAGCTGTGGATTAGACCTGCACAACGTTCAGAAGTAAGTCTGGACCATTCTTCCTACAGAACTGCTTCAGCTCAACCATATTCTTAGGACATCTGGTGTGAACAACTCTCTTCAGGTCATTCTAAAGCATCTCTATTGGGTTGAGGTCTGTCTCCAAAGCCATTCTATTGTAGATTTACTTTGATGTTTAGGGTCATTGTCCTGCTGCATCTTGTTTTGAGCTTCAGCTTGCCAACAGCCACCCTAACATTATCTTGTAGGATACCTGGATAAACTTGGGAATGAATTTTGCCTCCACAATGGCAGGTGGTCCAGGTCCAGAGGGAGCAAAACAGCCCCAAATCATGATGCTCCCTCCACTGTACTTCACTGTTGGGGTGATGTTTTCATGTTGGTACGTGGTTTAGTGACATCAGAAGATGTGTTGCTATTATTTTTTCCACCATCACTTTGTATGTTTAATGGCGGTGCTCAATAAAGACATGAAAGATCAACACTGTTTGTGTTCTATCAGCTTAGAAATATTGTGTTTGTTGATATTTGTGACTTTGGTGAAGATCAGATCACATTTCATGACCAATTTATGCAGAACACCAGGAAATTGCAAACAATGCCATTACTTTTTCTTGTGACTGTATTTATCTCTCTGGCTACAGCACCAATAAAATAAGTTTTTTTAATGGTTTCTTCTTTGAACACCACTTTTCTTTACATGACAACTGAATAACTGCATTTTCCTATCAAAGAATGCTGCACTAAAACACATTCAACATGGAAACTTTCTTTTTTTGCATTTGAAGTGGAGACAGATGGCACCAAATAGGCTGATTGGCTTTTAGCACATATTCTGCAAAGACACTCCCCACCCCCCAATCCTTGTCTGTGTTCACCATACAAAGCTGTATGGAAGAAAAGAGGAACAATCTTAAGAGACATTTTAATGCATGTTCCATCACATCTACGCCTGTGAGGGATGAGCCATGGAGATGCATGAATAAACAAGTGAGTAGGCATAGCAGTCTACAGTGCCTGAATGATGGGATTGAACATCACAACCTGCGTGTGATGCAGGCTCCATTGTTTGGTCCTGCATTTTCATACCCAAAACCCTGAAGGGGCTGTTGGATTTCTGAGCATAGCGTTGGTGTCAGAGGATGATGTCAGCATGGCTAATTGGCACCTTTCTGGTTTTTGCTTTTTCCAGTGGTGCCTCTTTCTTCTCTGCAACCACTCAATTCAACATTTCCATGCCAAGTTAGATTTTCATCAAACCTTTAGCAAATCATGGTGGCAAAATGCGACATAATTATTCCATTGGATGACTTGGCACAGCAGTTATTCAGAGCACTTTCCAAATCGTTTTTAGGTCAAAGAGGTACATTCCTTTTCTTTCTGAAGATGACTGAATCTTTCTAAGGGGTTTGTCTCAGCACAGCACACACATGCGCTTATACCTAGCACCTTAAAAATCTCAGGTGAGGACCATTTCTACCTGGTAATTATTGCTCTGTTTAGTCCAGCTGGTCTTTGCTGACTGTGTCACTCGTGGTATTAATCTGTCTTGGAACTCGATTTCACCAGTTCAAGCTCTAGATAAAAAGATACCACACCAATCGAGAGCTTGTCTGGTCACATAATGAACCGCAGAAAGCATTGCCATTCAGTTGCCTAAAATAGTGGCAAGACTTCATTTAACACATTTTAAGGCAGCATTATGTCTACACCTTTCTTGGATCCACCCATATAAACTGTATTTGCAGCTGAACAATAGCAAGCAAACACCATGTGCAACATTTTAGGCAAAGTGATGGCAAAACAATATGTGGTGGCTTCAATTTCAATACAATCTTTCAATAGTGCTAAAACATTCTACTGAATAACCAGGTAGCTGTTTCTGCATTTCCTGTATTGAACACTAAGACAAAAGATATTGCTACTCTGATACAAAAGTCTGGTGATTCGAAGAACAATTCATGCCCCCTCAGCATTGCACTCTTGGGAAAATTCCTTAATAAAAAGTCTGAAAGGTTGAAGCCATGACAAAAGCCGACTCCGGTAGGCTGCAAACAAGCATGTGAGGATTTTCACTTCAACAGCAACATGAAGGAAAAACACAAGTCACGGCAAACAGTTCAGACAGTCCACCATGTTGCAGCAGAAAAAGTACCTTTGAATCTGCACCTAAAAATGTTCCCTCTACATTGGGATAAAAGAGAGTTTACCCTGTTGTCAAGTCCAAAGAGAAGAGGAGAAAAGAACTGGAGTATGCACAACAACATGTCACTGTGGCAGACACAAGGAAAATTAACAAATTAGTAAAAACAAAGAAATGAAACCACCAAACGTAGACAAGTTGTTTTTGTCTGATTTAAGGGAAATCCTTAGCCATGGTGTGCACTTAAATCATTCATTAAATTAAACTCCATTTTAATGCGCCTTTTGATATGTGGTTGAGTTCTTAAGCGCTTCTAAAAAAAAAAAAAAAATAAAGTCATCTTGTCCAGGTAGTTTCTTTTTCATTGCTTTTTTTTCTTTTTTATTTTGCCCTTTTCTGTCTTCAGTGTCTTTTGAAGAGGCAGACCACAATCCTTCACTGAGGGACAAAGGAATGATTTCAATCCAGACACAGCCGGAAAAGTCAGACATGACAGATGTCGTTTACTTTGACAACTATCCCGGTTATGTCCTGGGCGCTGTTTCAGTTTTTGCCCTGCTTGAGGCAGCCCGTTGAACTCCGTCACACTTGAACACCTGTGCCATGGAGATGCAGCATCTGGGCTCTCATTGTCTGTATGCTGCTCATGATCTTTTTCTGATGGCCTACCAGCGTGATTCCCAAGCTCATCACGTCCCTGGAAGACAGGACAACACATCAATCAATGCACCGGACCACGGTATGGGGCAAAACAAGTGAGATTTACAGCCTCAGGTTTTTCATTATTCTGAGTAAGGGGTACAAAAAGGCAGCCAAACACAGCTTGCTTCTTCTCATTAATAAATTTTAACATCAGTTTCAAGGATAATGCAGCAAAAAACCTGTGAGTTCAGGTGGTGTATTATTTTTCTTGGGTAATATGCTTGGGAAAGTTTACTTGAACCCTTGGTCATCTAATGGGGATGTGTAGATTCACGCTGACATCTGATGGACAATTTTAATGTTCTGAAGAGCCACCATTTTTGGCTGATGCTCCTACACTCACTGGCCACTTTATTAGGTACACCTGTACAGTTTTATGCAATTCAATGCAATACTTCCACCTTACTGTCTATGTTAACATAATGTATTCCAGCTCCACCTTTAATTTATGACAATTTCACCAAAAAAATGAAATGTTTTGAGCTTCATAAACACAGATGTTAAGGTGGAGGTGTTGCACTGAAATGCATACTACTCTACAGGTGTACCTAATAAAGTGGCTGGTGAGTGTATTTAGCTATGTTTATGTTCTTAACTAGTAAGAATGAAGCAGCCATGAGTTCATACAAGCTCATGCAGTTTAAGATGGAGATGCATTCTATAAGAATCTTTAGTATGAAGACACCATTAAGGACATGTCAAGATGTCTTGATTTGATCCTAAGGATTGGTATGGGGCCGACTTGGTCATTTTTTTAAAGGATCAGTATTACCTAAAATAAATCCGATCAAATGTCAGTCAGGGGAGGGGTGAGATGCTCTCAGACACAGAGTGGAGCGAAGCAGAGAGATAATGGTTGTTAACCACATGTGCAATAAAATCCTCCAGTAATGGAAACATTAGGTTTGATATCTATTGAAAAAGCAGAACACAAATATGCAGAAATGTGATGTCATCCTGTATGTTGACACAGTCCTACTGTGTCTGTCATGGTAATTTTTGCTAATTGTTGTGAATGAGCTGAAAACAAACAAACAAAAAAAAATTATGTAATAATCACTGTGCATATGAATATTTGTTGTATTCTTGGAGTTTGGGACTGATCAGTTTAAAAGTTTAAGGCAGGCTCCCCACAGGCGCTGTAGGTCAAGGTGACATTGAAGCAGCAGGCTTCGGATTTAACTATTTTGGTACTTTACATACTGTATGCCGAGTAGCACAGTTGAGCGACACAGTGATGCCATTTTGATATTTTAACATAAACAGCATTCTCACTCACTAATTCTGGTCTTTTCTAGTTTGCCCTGTTTTCTATTTTTGTTAAGCTACAATCAACACGCCTCAATACTTACAGAATGGTGCCCTTGAGACCCTGAAAGGCTGCGTACAAAGTGTTAACTTTGAATGGTGGTAGGGTAAAGCTTGAAAAACAGCAATGTTCAGGTAATTAGAAGGAATTAATGAATGCTAACAGTTTTTTTCTGATATGAAGACACTCAGAACAATAGAGCAGTGGGCAGAACTGTGTATAACTGAACTAAAAGAATTAGTTGTGTGGAAACTTACACTTTATTGAATGTATCAAAACAACAGGTAAACATGGAGGAAGTGCTGAGTTTGCATTAACAGCAAATTACAGTAAAACAGGAGCAAATCAATAAACACTGAGGCTTTTGACTAATATCTGAAAGTATAGACAAAACTAGGAAAATAAGAAATACGTAAAAGCATTCATCTTATAAAGGCATGTTTTCTTTGCACTTTAGGTAAATTAAGGTCCAGGCCACTATTTATGGTAATTTATAGAAACTTGGAACCCTCCTGGGACAACAAACAAGCAAATCTCTACCTGAATGGAAAAGGCACAAAGGTAGATTTGCTAACTCAGATGGGAGAAAGTGTGAGCTCATAGTGTAAACATGGCAGGTATTAATCGCCTCTACTGATGCTTAACCCACTGAAGGCTTCATATCTACTCACTCGATCGACATCCTGGCCACAGATTCCAGAGAACTGTAGCCAGCTGCTGTGAAGTTGTCTCTGTATCGCTCCATCTTGATGGCTTCCAGCCACTCTCCCACTGAGCAAAAAGCAGTGAAGTCTGGTGTGCTCTGATCTAACAGTGGACTAATTGGTCTGCGGGATGAGCACAGAGAGATGTTTATGCCTTATGAAAAGGAAACGTTCTGCTGAAAATACAATCAAGCAGGGGATGAGACAAAATGACAACCAAAGGGATCCAGCGGTGCAGTAAATTGCATGAAGGGGGGAAAAAGCTAGCTGAATGGAGACTTCAGTCAATATGAAATTCACAGACTGATGCAGCATGTCAGTTTTCTGCTTCTGAAAGATATTTTTCTCAATATCTTTTCAATCAGAATACATTTATCTCAGACAGTTTCCTTATAATAAAGTAGTTTTTAACCAGTTGTAACCTCTGAGTCCCAGTCTCACCTCAGGAAAGTATGATTTGACTGCAAATAGAATTTATTTGACAAACGTCAGAGCGAGTTCTGGAGTTCCCACTGCACTTTCAAGTACCAGAACTCATTATAGAGATTGATTTAAAAGCCCAGCTATTGACCATAAAGCCATGGAAACAGCTTCGGGGTATTGATCCCCTGAGATTTATCTTTCATCTGTGAGCTACAAAGGCGAAATCATCCAGCAGACACTTTAGATCATCCACTAATGCACAAAAATAAAAGCTGATTTTTTTTTTCTTTAATTGGATGAAGCCACATTTTAAAATGATTCATTTGGGGTTTTATGTCCTCACCTTGTACAGGTTCCCACTGGGGTTTTCAAGGTGTTAGGGTTACGGATCATCTTATCCAGGATGCCAACAATCTGATCAAATTTGGGACGTTCGGCTCTGTCCTTCTGCCAGCAATCCAGCATTAGCTGATGCAGGCCTGGTGGACAGTCCATGGGGGCTGGAAGACGGTAGCCCTCCTCTATTGCCTTTATGACCTGGAGAATGCAAAACAGTTGGAACATTAGTATCTGCATTTCATATCATGCAAACACTTTGAAATGAACTTTTTGTATCACTCCTCCCTCAACCAGTCATAACCCTTTAGTATCATCCAAAACTTAGACCATTTAGTATCAGCCTTTAGTTTTACCATAATCCTAACCCTAGACCATTTAATATCAGCTTTACCTCCAGCCCTTTAGTAACAGCCTTTAGTGTCACCCAAACCGCTAACCCTTTAGCAACAGTCTTCGGTCTAAAGCCAACCTTAACCTTTTAGTATCATCCTTAAGTATCACTGCAACTAACTCTATCAGGGTTAATATTTGTGAGTAATTTATTACTATTTATGCATTGAGTTTGTAAACAACAGTGATGGAGCTTATTCTTTTCATGGTTACCTGCAGTAGATATTGTGCACTGACTAACTGGATTTGACTGTTGTGTATCAGTTTAGTTATAGTGAATGAAAGTAGCTACAATAATGAGCTTTGAGCAGCAAGCTTCTCATCATAGCCCATTCCATTACAATATGATCTTCATGCTGTGTAACAGGTTCCTCTGTCAAAATGATGCTGCTGAGGTCCCTTTACTACATCTGCCCCTGCTAGAGTGCCTAATGTTCTTCATTTTTATTTGTATCTATTTGTTTCTGTTTTGTTTATCAGCCTGTAGAAAAAGGTTGTCTCATGGGTGGATCTAGACGATCTTTGTCAAGTCGGAAAAAAAATTAATCATGTGACATCACCCTGGTATTTCAACTTGAGACTGGCAACTTACTTTGGAGACAGGGTAAGTTCCAATTCTCTTATTTGATCATTCCTTGTGTCCCAAAGCTCTTATTCCTCCTCTAAGGAGCAAGGATTGAGAAGTGAGGAGGTTGCTAGAGGAGCCACGAATGAGGATACATGACAGCATCCTTCATGCTAATCTTTTAGGGAGTGATATGCCTCTTTATCTGAGATTAGGGCAACCACACAATCACTGAAGGAAATGTGACAATGATTAAAGTTTGGATTTTCATGGACTGGTCCTGATAATGGTTCATTACCACAGTGTGTTATTTGCAAAGTGGTGCTAGCTAATGATAGTATGAGACCCCAGCATCATATTGAGACCAAGCACCCACGTTTGGTGACCAAGGGATGGGAGTCTGCTGATAGGAAGCTAGAGGAATTGTGGTCACAGAGTAAAATAATTGAGATGGCACTGTGAAGCATCTTACACACGATGTGGAAACAGTGATATGAAAGGCAGCAGTGCTGTGAATGGTGCCCGGTATTTAGTTAATTTGGTGGCCAACTGAGTTTGATGTGCTCAATTTTTTTTTGACTTAAGTAAAACTGCACAAATGGGCCTCACAGTAAATGGTTTTGTTGAATTAAGGCTATTTTATTAAGGCCATTGTTGAACTTTTTTTTAGTGTCTGATTGGAGCGTGGGGGATTAATTGATAAATAATATTAAGTAACAGTTTAGGCCCACTGGATTCTGGATTTTTTTTTTTAAGAAATCAATGTTTATTAGCCCTTCAGAGTGGAATTATATTCCAGATGTGTTTGTTTTAAAGATATTTACATTTATTGTTGAAACCCATTGTTATGGCCGAGTGGAACATACAGTAGGCTACACTAACAGTATTTCCCTTTCCCACACTTTGAAAACCCTTGGTGTAGATATGCTACCTATTTTTGCCTTGTGCATGTTGTTGTTGCCTCACTAGTCACCATGGCTCAGCAGTAAAGCTGATGAGCAAAATGTTAAAATAATAGGTGATAATGGCCAAAACAATGGAAATGAGATCTGACATGTAATAAATAAGTGAACTTTAATTTGATGGTCATTTTTAAAAGGTTGTGTAAATTATTCAGCTGAGGCACATCATCAAAACCAGACCTTTTCTATAATCGACTGATTCTGGAAAGGTTATGCATGCTTTTAGTTTGCCTTTTGTGTGATTACTGCAGCTTGCCTCTTGCCTCTCTCAGGTACAGAACAATCCCCTGCCTTCAGTCAGTGTGAAAAGCTACAACTAGGCTTTTAACAAACTGAAGATGGTGTCATATTACACCAATCCTTGTCTTTCTGGCTGACTGAATTGATTTTAAAATTTTACTTATAACTTTTAAGGCACATCAAGGTCAAGCGAAGTTTCTAGTTACACGACACTGTAGATTTTTCATAAGATACTGTATGTCCCACATTGTGCATATTTTAAAAAGGTTATATTTACACAGCTCTAGTAAATAAGAGAAAAGATCTTTCCTCTGAGCTTTAACACTTAATCCTTTGTCATTTCGCATCACACGTGCAGTTTAGCAAAGAGTTCATTCAAGCTCAGTGTGGTGAGAACAGTGGCTGCAGCAGGTACTTTGATTTGAGGCCCTAGCTGCCATTTGTTTTTATGTGTGGCTAAGGAGCTCTGTACATTTCTGCATATATTCATCAGTTATTCCTGTCAGCACTGCTCAGACAAGAATGAGTCCTGGAGGAAAAATGTGTCAAAACACAGAGTCTGTTGCTAAAAATGCAAATAATGTTCTTCCTGCATCCCCAGAGGATGTTTGTTGACATCTTGACAAAGCACAAAAAAATTCTGACATTGATTTCTGTCAAGTAGCAGAGGGGCAAAACACCACATATGCCACTTTAATGCCCAGACATCTTGTTTAGCATTTCTAACATCTGACTGTTCAGTTGGCAAGCCTCGGCTTTGGAATGGCAACGAATCTTAATCATGTTGGCCTTGATGCCGTGGGTGCTAAACACCAGGCGGCATACAGGCATCTTAAGTTCAGATCTCACTCACTTTCTACCATCAATAAAAATGTGTCAAGTGTTCGACAATAAGGAAAAGTTTCAAGTGGTTTGGTACTGTTGGGCTGCCTCAGTGGGAGTTGGCAGGAAAGCAGGCAAGAGCACTCAGAGAAGTGCAGGCCAGTTAGTCATTATGGCAATTTGTGACATTTATGAAAAGAAGCGCAGGACTTCTGCACCTTTCAGATACATTGTCTCACTGAAGTACAGAACCTAAAGAAGCAACAAAATCTCCATGTCTCTTCCAGCTCTGGTGCACTGGGTTTCACACCAGCAGTGAGATGAGAGAAAATTCTGGCACTTTTTACAGCTTTTCTGAGCTGCATTGCTACAGGGGCTGCAAACTCTTGTTTTGACTGTATTGTGGTTGACTGAGCTTTTAGTGTTGAGTATTAGTGATTTGGACATTTTCATGATAGTTATTTTATTACTTTGACATACAAATGCAACCGCATGTTGTTGACCCATGTTCAGGTTTTGTACTTATTCAACACAATGCCCATAATGCACTGACCTGATAGCATCACGCTGTTACACTAACCCTGCCTGGTAAATTCTCAGCGCTTTCACTTTTTTACACAGGTTTTCTATTAAAGCCCGTCTCCATGCTCAAGCTGAATTAACCTTGGAAGATGTCACAGTGACATCATCAGGCATTGTTTTCTTAGACTTTACAAAGCTCCTCTAGAGCTACAGAAGTTATTATAAATCTATTTACACAGGCTGGGTAGTGAACCTGGTGGAGCTTCCCTTTAAAATCAAAGCTTATATGACTTTTGAGTTCTACATCTAAAACAAAGCAGTTAGCTGCAAAACATGCCTGAGTTGTTTGCTGTACTGTATAATTGATTCAACACTGCTACTCACACTGGTTCCCATTACCATAAGTCATTATAAACTTTTTAAAAATTTGAATCAAAAGCATTCTCCATGACAAGTATTTTCCACCCGTTCATATTAAAAGCACCATATTGTCAGGACTTAATTTTTATTCTTGTCCCATTTCAGAGCTTTCTTCTTCAGACAGATTCAAACTGTGTGGCTTCTTGAACTAATTAAGCCCAAGGTTACTGTCCCTTTTGAGCTGTTCTCACAACAATCCTGAAAAACCACAACTGTTATTTTTGTCTGTAATTTTAAGGGGATGGCTTCATTAGGGATAATTAAAAATGAATCTGGGAAAATGGTGCATTCTTTCTCTACCTATCTATCTATCTATCTGTATACAGTATATATATATAGACAGAGAATAACATATCAAGTCTATATAAATATACATATTGTGTGCCAGTTATACAGTATACATAGGGTATACATAATAAGCAAATGTGCACAGTGTACAATGCCAGTAAGTGCAGGACTCGACACTGTGTGAAAGGATAAAAACAAATGCCAATATGGGCAAGACTGAACATTATGTGCAAAGGAAAAAAAAACAAGGGTAAACTGGGCATTAGTACAGTGTTATAGTGAAGAGAGATCATAATATTATGGAGTTGAGTAGTGACACGTCCATGTCCCAAAGTCAGATCAGACATCCTCACTGGGAAAAGCTGAAAAGTCATATGGCCCGAGGGACAAACAACTTCTTCAATGTGTCCGGGGAGCAGGAGAGAGACATCAGCCTGGTGCTGAATGAGCTCCTCTACCTGGTGATGGTGCTGTGCAGAGAGTGATGAACAGTGTCCAGGATGGACAGCAGCATACTGAGGGCCCTCTTCTCCATTACAGATGTAAGGGAGTCCAACTCTGTACCCACTACAGAGCCAGCTTTCCTCACCAGCATGTCCAGCTGCGAGGCATCTCTCTGCTTAATGCTGCCTCTCCAGCACACTACAGCACAGAAAAGGATGCTGGCAATGACAGATTGGTAGAACATTTGTAGTAGCTTCTTGCAGATGCTGAAGGACCCAAGCCTCCTCAAAAAGTACAGCTGGCTCTGTCCCTTCCTGATACACAAACTTCAGAGGGTTGAGCACCTGGCGGACCTGGGGTCTATGGTGGTGTAGCAGCAGCTGCTCAAGGGTCTTCATGATGTGTGGCATCAGGGTGACCAGACTGAAGTCATCCATGTCCCTGGTGTGTGGCTATTTGGGAACAGGAACAAGGCGGGATGTCTTCCACCATACAGCGACCCTCCCTAGTCACCGGCTCAGGTTTGAGAGATACTGAAGGGGCTTCTCCAGCTCAGAAGCACAGGCCCTGAGTAATCTAGGACATATTCCTTTCCTGGGGTGGAGTCTCCTCAGCCCTCCACTAACCTGAGCTGCCATTATGGTGGATGGGGGTAGTGGGGTGGTGACACTCTCCTCTGAGGAAGGAAGCATCTGTGGCTGGTCGGACAGTCCACAAACTGGAAAAATGCCGGCAGTGTAGAATCCAATGAGACATGGTTGAAGTCTCCCGAGATCAGCATAAAGGCATCGGGCTGCTGCATCTGCAGTATCACGATAGTCAAGTGCATGATGTCACACAATGCTTACACATTTGCCTGTGGGGGATGTAAATACACACAACAATGGTGTGCAAAAACTCTCTGACCATGCAGTAAGGTCGGAGACTCACGGCTAAAAGTTCAGTGTCCTGACAGCAGATAGTCATCTTCAGTTACATGCCCAGGGTTACACCACCTGGTGTTAATAAAGAGTGGTGAGTCCCCCATCTTTGTGTTTCCCACTTGCCTTGGTGTCTCTGTCTGCTCTGACTGTTGTGAAGCTGGGCAGATCTACGTTAGCATCCAGGGTGCTAGCAGTTAGCCATGTCTCAGTGAAACAAAGCAAAATACACTCCCTGTAGATCTTCACAATCTTCAGCTTTGCAGCTAGTTCATCAGTCTTGTTGGCCAGTGAATTAACGTTACCCATAACTACCTATGGAATAGAGAGTTTGTACTTCTACTGCCTTGCCAAGCACCTAGCCTTTAACTTAGCACTGGCTCTGCAGCCTCTTAACAGCTGCCTCATCTCCCTAGGGCATGTGGGGAACCTCATTGGCACAGGCCATTGTCTGAAGGGCGAACAGCTGATCCCTCAAATAAATGAGTTCATAGCCAGAAAATCAGAAAAAAGTTTGCAAATATGCACCACACAACGTGTGTAATGAGAATGGGTACAGGTGAAAAACACAGTAAAAGAGCAAAACAAACAACACATGAGAGAGCTACTGGAAAGGGTGCCACTCGCGTTTTTTGGTTATTTTACAGAGACTAGAGCCAGCAATGAATTTTGCGTAGTCACCATAATGTCTGTGAATACAAAACCTGGCTTAGCTTATTCATCTGTTACATACACCTCCAGCATTCTCCAAAAACTATTAAAAACACACCAGTGAGCCACACTACTGCACTAGGTGACACTTTTTACAATCTTCTTGCACAGCCATTGCAGTGAGTGTACAAAATTCATTGTTGGTTTTAATGTCCATATGGGATTTGTGGGAAATAATCAAAAGGCACCCTTTAAGATAGTTCTCAATTGAGGCCCAGTTTGGAAGTAATGTGTAACCTCTACAGTTATTGATTATCAAAATTACTGTCATAAATTTTGTCAATATGCTTCTGTCAACTACTGTATTTGATTCAATGCTAAAATTGGATGTGATTCTTTCTCTCTCTGTGGGAAAGTTTACTAAGGTAAAAAATAATAGTTATGACAGCAGTTACTAGCAAAAGATGATGAAGCCCTAACCCCAACTCAACATATACTGTATGCTCCCAAATCACTGACAACGATCTTAAATGAGTATTTTTCATGTAATGATCATGTAATGATCTATTACATGTTCAGAACGATAAGATTAGTAGAAGATTATAATCTGTGATTATAAAATAGCAGATGACAAATTTAGTGTTTTGGTAACTTCATGATCACACAAAAACTCACATCTTGATTGGACATGTCCCAGTAAGGCCGTTCCCCATAGGACATGACCTCCCACATGACAATGCCATAACTCCACACGTCACTTGCGGAGGTGAATTTTCGATACTGGATGGCTTCTGGTGCAGTCCATCGGACGGGTATTTTGCCACCCTGTTCAGTAAAAAGCAGGAGCAAAAATCAAATTCATAATATCCTGCATCTACATCAATTAGTTTTTTCAATTACACACAGTGTAAAACAAAAAACAGCTTTCCCACAAACATCATCAAAAATACTGAAACCACTTACTCACAGTATAGGGTTTTAGAATTTGTAACTAATGCTATATTAAGATCCTTAACAGAACACAAGGGTTAAGTTATCCGGTAATATTTTAACAGTGTGCAACGAAGTTAAGTACTTGGGTCATGTCATAAATGATTGTTTGTTCGATGACGGGGATATATATCGGCAGTGCCGTATGTTGTATGTACGAGCTAATGTATTGGCACGGAAATTTGGTTCATTCGGTTGGAATAAAATTGGCTTTGTTTAAAGCTTATTGTACTTCCTTGTACACTGCACATCTGTGGTCTAATTATAAAAAGGGCAGTCTTCAGAAACTGTCAGTGGCTTATAATGATGCCCTAAGGCTGTTATTGAAAAAGCCTCGATGGACAAGTGCTAGCGAACTGTTTGTGTCTTTTTGAATTAGTACATTTTCCGCTGTTTTATGAAATTTTATGTATAAATGTATCTGTCGCTTGAATGGTTCTGGGAAATCATATCATTTTATTGTTGACTAATGCTGCATACAGTGACATGCGTTTTACTTCTGCTCTCTGGAAACACTGGTATGCCTGCCTTTTAAAGGGACAGTAGTTTTATGGGTGTTCTCCTGTTCTCGTTTTATTTTATTTTTACTGTTTCTTTTAATTGTTCTTTTGTTGTCTGTTTGATTTAATTTGGACCTTGAGTCTGTAATAAAGTGCCATTCATTCATTCATTCATTCAACAGCAACAATTACCTCATTGGCTGGTATAGCTTTTGTGTTGCAGAACATTTGCAAGTATAATTATAAACAACACAACTGCAGATATAATGGCTTAGTAGAAAGCAATATACTCCTTTAAAGACAACAGTTTCTATTGTTTTTTAAGGATAAGGATAATCACCTTTATTTGGCCAAGTATTGTTATACACAAGGAACTTGTTGTTTAAATGATCTCAATTTAAGGTGCACCGAGATCTTGGACTGATATTACTGTTTTCACTTGAAATACTTTTTAATTGAAAGTTTTGACTGGAAATAAGGGCTAGCTAGTTTGTGTAATATTAGCAGAGATGCAGCTAACTACTATTTTAATTATTAATCAATCCATCTATGGTCATCATTAGTCAATTTAGCATTTGTTCTATTAAACATTAAAGACTAGTGAAAAATCACACTTGAGAATCTAGAAGCAGCACATTTCTGATGTCATATTTTTAACTACAGTGGCTTGAAACTGAGTTAAAAAGCATAAACAATTACTAACCATTAATAAAGTAATAATTACAACCTATGAACCCTTTGTAAAGAGTGGTGAAATATAACAAGTATTCTCTGTTAACAAAGGTGCAGCCATCTTGGGTGTATTCCTGTACTTCTGCTCTATTTTCATGTATCAAATTTGACTTGATTAGAGAATTCAGAGGGCTTTCTGGGAAGAGCGAGAGTAAGTGCTTTAATTGACTCACAGTTGTTGTGTAGACAGCTTCGGGGTCGTCGTCTATCACCCTTGACAGTCCAAAATCCGACACTTTACATACAAGATTACTGTTGACAAGGATGTTTCTTGCAGCCAGATCTCGATGGACATATCCCATATCGGAAAGGTATCTCATTCCCGCTGCTATGCCCCGCAGCATCCCCACCAACTGGATGACTGTGAACTGACCATCATGCTTCTGCATGGCACAGAGAAACACAGGCAGATCAGCCAACTTCACTGACCATGAGGGAAATGTAGGTCACAGCGCTGCAGCAGCACTTTCTCAACGTGTGATATTTATGCAATGCTCAGATTCTACTGCAAACTACATGCTCTTTGGGGCACTTTCCAGAAGAGTTACAAAAGATGCGGCTTTGAGCCTCCTGAGCTTTGAAGGTGATACTTACCCTGAGGAAAGCATCTAATGAGCCATTCTCCATGTACTCAATGACAATCATGACAGGTTTTCCTAGGGATAAAAGAAAAAAAAAGAGATGATTAACTGATACCTAAATTTTGTTTGCTCACAAAATGATTCACAATAAATGACAATGCCCAAGCAGCTTCCAAGTTATTTTTAGCTGTTTCATTGGCTTTTAATTAAAAGTTACCATCTGCTCCTTTTATTACAGTGTCTAAATGAAAAAACGTTAAACAGGGAGTTTGGCTAATTTAATCATATATAATGTCATTCCAACCACTGCACTTTTACCTCCCAAAGCTAAATATACCCCAGTGATTGAATTTGAATTGGTTAATTGCATCAGTATAAGCTTCATAATCTATATATTCATTTCACATGGAAGTGTCTTTACCTCTCGTCACGACTCCTTCCAAATGAACGACATTAGGATGGTCAAACTGTCCCATAATGCTGGCCTCACACAGGAAGTCCCGCCTCTGCTTCTCCGTGTAGCCCACTTTTAACGTCTTGATGGCAACCGACACATCCCGCTTTCCAGGCAGCTTCAGCCGGCCACTGCACACCTCCCCAAACTCTCCTGTATAAACCATTCACAAGTGAGGGTTTTGTGTGATAAGCAAAAAAAAAATCAAGCACTTCACAGTGACACATTTATTACTGTATTTTAAGACAAAGCAGCTGTGCTGCGGTGGAATACAAATGGGGAGTGCGACATCTTGTTATACTCAGGGGAGTGTAACCAAGACCTATAATAAGACATGCTAGAGATGCATAGATACTGTCAGTGACCGCCTCTGTAAACCCATGTGACAGCAGTTTTTTCAGCCGAGGGAATCTCTGTGACTGCTACTACTAGACACAGCCCGCACATTAATTGCTGTGAACTTTTTTTTCCCCTCCTTGCAATTGTACTGTCAATATTCAATGCATAAAGTTGTGTCCCTACTCAAGGTGTAAATATTTGGCTGTCAGTGTGATATATGAGCACAGAGTCACTAAATAGCAAGAGCTGAGAGACACAGTAAGAGCTTACCTGCTCCAATAACCCGTTCAATTTTAATGCAGGAGGCATCCAGCTCCTTGGCAAATTGATGGACAGCCCTGTTTGGGTCCTCATACGTTTCAGGGTCAATGTACGTTTTGGTGCCTGGAAATTTAACTGTAGAAGGGTAAGAGGATTACTGTTACGATTAAATATGCATACTGTGCACCAACGGGCTCTTGACAGGCAAACGATTACTAAGACCAGTGATTCGGAGTGAATTACTGAACAGTAAGCGGCTGGAGTCAAAAGGGTTTTCACACAGTAAAATTCATCACAAAAAGGAAGCAAAGATTTGAGTAACCTGTGTCCAGAGCTTTTTCACCTCCCAGCAGCATGAAGCCGCTGGTTCATACACTCACAAGGCTTAAAGCTCTAGTGGCCCAAATAAATAAAAACTATTACTTTTGTAAAGATCTGAATACCTAATAATGAAATTTAACTGCTTCTAAATAATTCATGTTGAACTTTTAATTCCACTTTAAAAGTTTGAAATATTTTACTTTGAAAAGCTATCTGTATATGAGTTTTTAAAACGCAGGGGTTCAATTAGTTTTCTTAAAGTTTGATTGCTAACACTAATGTGGACGTTCAAGTTTACATTTGAGTCTTTAATCGCAAGGTTGGACTTATTTGAGCAACAGGATATTTGACTTCATGGGAATTTTTAGCTTGAGAAATGAGTGAGTTACCTGAATAATACTGAACTTTAATTTGGATTTGTGAACCCCTCAAAAATACACAGTATACTGTATAGGCTATAAATTTAATAGTGGGGTGTAGTGAATTAGTAGTGATTAAACTTCACAGTTCAAACACTTACAGTATGTTTTTATTTAATATGTTTGCTCTAGGTTTTGCCTCTGATGCTTTATACAAGTTGCCATTCTAACACACTGTACAGGTTAATGTTTTGTACTGGCAGTACCAGCATGGGGGAAAAAGAAGAGGGTGACAGGCTCATCTGAGTGTGTGTGGGGGAAATAAACACCCTAAATTACAAGAATTTTAGTGCAGCATCTAATGCAGTGCATGACAAATGTCTCTAAGAGCAGGCTGAGCAGCAGGAGTTGTGAACCTAACATGTTAATGCTTCACAAGTGTTATCAAATCAAATCAAGCCCTGGAGTTGGCTTTTTTTACCTTCAATATAATTGAAATAATATCTTTAAAAAGATTATGATCTTTGGTTAGGATGTAGTTCTTTACAGTAGTAACTAATCTTAACATTAGGTTGTTCAAAACTTTCACACACTCTCCCTCTCTCTGCGGCATCTCAGCAGCCTTTAGATCTAACTGGTGGAGGTTGTTGACACCACAAGCAGCACCAGGGCTGCAAAAACTTGTTTTCCAGAAAATAAATCATTTGATCTTTATACTGTTGAAAAGATAATAATGAACAATTATAATATCTGACAACAACATGTAGAAATGAGCATCAGTGGCAGATAAGGTACTAAAGGACAGTGGTCTTTTCAATACAAATACAAATACAACATAATTATAAAACAAGTCTCTATTAGTGAAACGACAGTAAATGAGATTTTGTAGAGAAGTGGGGCAGCATCTCTAATTCTTTTGTCAGATTGCATCCTCAGGGAAGACATTTGGGATTTTATTAAAAATTAAATCAATGCAATTTCAATTAACACTAACATAGAACCAGTTCATGAATATCCAGGAGGTGGGAATGGAAGGCATTTGTAACAAACAAGGAAAACAAACAGGGTTAGAGAAAGGTCAGAGCTGGGGTAGGGGGTTCCCATTTTGCACAGTGCTCTGTATTAACAGCAAATTACAGTATCATGCACTATTAAGAGAACAGGCCACTCATGGGGCCAATTACACTCTGCCTTTTAAATTCCACTGATAACAATATAACCTGTCAACTTAAAAATTTAATGAGATAGTACAGCCATAATCCGGAGGATAAACACTGGACTGAAGCTTACCAGCTGGAGAGTCGCTTATCCTCTGCATGGAGGGAAAACATGGTGGCCAATGCAACAGCATAAATACAACAGATATATTGTGCTACTGTGAAGGGGCACTGGCAGCTGAGATTTCCTTCCACTTGCTCCGATAATTGCTTCGTCCATCCAAGATGTCAGTGGATCTGATAGGAGATGTCTTATCGTGACTTCCTCGCTGCTTCACGGCAGACAAATTGGGTTTACATGTGGAATTTGTGCACCATCTAGTTCTGTCGCCGAGCAGCCTCTTGTCATTTGATACTGCATGGCAGATGCCTCCATTAAGCTCGACACTAGTATTGTTTGTGTTTTCTGCCAGCGTTTTTTTTTTCTTCATGAAATAAGACCTGTGAGCTGCTGAGGTGTATCTGTCAGATACTTAGTAGTAGCCAAACTGGACTCCCTGGCACTGCCTCTGCTCCAGCCGTATGTTTCCTGACACCCCTGACCCTTTGTTTCCAAATCAGCAGTTTGCCTACAGCACAGATCATTATGGCTCCACTTGGGGAAGCTGTCTGCAGCTGTATCTCCAGGGGCATCATTAGGGGTGGTGTATCAGTGTAAAAAAAAAAAAAACAACAACCTCTTAGTGATAGAAGGTATATAGAAACAGCACCTACAATAGAGCAAACTGTGTGTACACCTGAAACCCTGTCACTTGCTAAAACCACATGAGTTATGGCTTTTACAATTTTTACTCCTTGCTCATGGGTCAGTCCTTTCCTTCCTCCCTGACAGCTGTCACATTCATGTGTTGGTAGTTTCCTGACTTCTTCATCGCCACAGATTGAGTGTAGCCAATCAGCAGCAGATGTGAACCTGATTATTCCCGGCTTTGACTCAAATCAAATGAGCCGGGATAAAACAGCCATGCCTGTGGCTGCTAATGGGCTTTAAGGAACCCTTCCTGCTCAGTATGCAGTGATTGAGATGTCCCTGTCTACAGTGTGTGTGTGCGTGATTAATGCAGGTTCTTACACTGGAAGTACAGCTCCTCGTCTCCCTCCTGATCCGCTTTGCTGTACCCGCAGTGCCTGCACGAGAGGAGAGGAAGAGAGTGGCAGAATCAACTGATTGTGCAGAAGAAATAAATGCCCTAAATTACAAGAATTTTAATGTGGCAACTATGGCCATGCATGACAAATCTCTTCAGAGACCCAGCTGAGCAGCAGGAGCTATGAACCCAACAATCTAGCATGGGAAGTAGCTTCAACATCTGATCATGTAATATGTCAACTGATGCATGCACGGTAATGCACTGTTCAGCTTGTATTGTACAGTAACATTTATTTGTATAATAAATGTGTTGAAGGGTCCCTCAAGTAGGTGATTTGCTGCTAAGGACTGGCCTTTGCGTGCAAAATGAAAAAGCAGCGATGTTGGAAGGTAGAGTAAATCACAACTGAAGGACATGCACTTACTGTCAATGAAAATACATGAATTAGGCAGGTCCCTGCACACTTTAACTCTTACAACCCCTATTGTGGTTTTGCTTGGATTTCATTGTTTTATTTACAGATCTATGGCATTGTCATTATGTCTTAGCTTGACATGTCTAGTTATCTGGAAAAAGCAAGTGGTCTTTCAGTTAATATGTTTTTGCCAGACTATTGCTTCCAATGTCAAGAGAATTCCTTCCATGCCTGAGCACTACGGGGCACTACGGGAAACAGTTTTTAACAGAGGAACACATTTCTATACAACACCGGTACCTGTGATCTGCAAAACAGCATGAACAGCAGAATGTCACAATCATGGCCAGGACAAAGGATGACAATTTCAATATGGCGGGCATCAAAGTGTCATGTGACCCAGTGACAGCATGTAAAAAAAAACAACCCTGTATTTGCTCTAATCTCATATCCCTAAATACCTTACACCCAGACAGGTTCCAGTGTAGAGAGTATAGTGGGTATCTATGAAAAAATAGCAACACCACATTTTGTCCGTTGTAAAATTAAATACAGTGCAAATTTCTGTCCGGTACAAATTAATCTGGGAAAGATAAGGTTCGGAATATTAAAAGGTTGTATTACACGTTCACATTAAATTACCCAAAACACTTCAAACCTTGGATGAAGGCAATCCCCCGAGCAGAATATGTTCTGACCATTTTAAAGGAAATACAATATTTTCTGATAAAAATACATATGTAGAGAAATAGTGCTACATTTTAATGGCTGAGATGAGTTATTATGATCACGGCAGCACAAAAATTGAGGCTTTATGTTAACTGTTACGTGCACTATGGCATGCTGCAACGTTAGTCAAGCTACATCTAGTTTAAAATAGAGAAATGCTTTTGCTCTAATCTGATCCTATTATTTTAATAGATAAATTGAGGTTGTCTGGTCAGTTTTGCATTCTCCACACTAATATTATTAGCAATGTTCTTTGAGGAATGTTGCTGAGAGCTTGCTGATGTGTGTCTGTTTACCAAGCAGCATTTTCACCCTGTATCAAAAGGTGAGATAAGTCAAAGACTATACCCAGCTTAAGCTGGGAGTCCTTGGAGTTCAGTCCTAAATGTCCTTAACCACTGAGGATAACATTGTTATTCATAGAGGAAAATACCTTAGTGAGCTAACACTAGCCT